TGTGAATAAACCTTTCTCAATAAATGCCTGTTTATTTTGAGTATTTCTCATACTGAAATCTCTGGAGAAGTTCCTGTAGCTTTTATTTCTGGATTTTGTGAATCAGAAGTTGGAAGTGTTGCAGGACTTTGAATAAAACGAATTGAAGTAGACAGCTACTTAAAATTACACTCTATAAAACTGTGTGCAGAGTAGTGCCTCAGAGAGACCAGCTGAAAGAGTCACTACAGATTCAAGCAAAGACAGTGTAGTGCTCAGCTGTCATTTCTTATGAATATAGCAAAACAAAGAGCAAAACAGAAACAAACCTGAGGTTTTAAATTCCTCTAGGAATTAGGACCTTCATTTTTCTAGTCTTCAACTCATCACCTGCTGCCATCCACTGAGTTCTTTCATTGGTTCAGTATTGATTCATGAGGAAGTAGGATATCCTCTGAGTTTCCTACATCAGCAGGTTTTCACATGAGGACTCCCATCCAATTACTGACACAGAACAGAGATGCTTGTGAAGCAACCCCTGGTCACCTTGTGCTGCAGGTGAACTGCAATTTTATCTTCCTGTGACTTATTCATACTAATACCATGTTCCTAAGTTGGTTTTGGCTGGGGTAATTTTTTTTCACAGTGGCTGGTATGGGGCTGTGTTTTGGATTTGTGCTGAACACAGGGTTGATAACATAGAGATGTTTTTGTTATTGCTGAGCAGAGCTTACACAGAGCCAAGGCCTTTTCTGCTCTTTCACACTCCACTCTGGCAGGGACATTGGAGATCAATGGGAGGCTGGGAGGAGACACAGCCAGGACAGGTGACCCAAACTGACCAAAGGGATATTCCAGACCATGGGACATCATGCTCAGTGTATAAGTTGGGGGTAGAAAGAAGGGGGAACATTTGGAGGTTTTATCTCCCTAAGTAACTGCTATGCATGATGGGCCCTGCACTCCTGGAGATGGCTGAACACCTGCCTGCCCATGGGAAGCAGTGAATTAATTATTTGTTTTGCTTTGCTTGTGTTTGTGGCTTGAATTAATTATTTGTTTTGCTTTGCTTGTGTTTGTGGCTTTATCTTTCCCTGTTAAACTGTCCTTATCTCAACACATGAGTTTTCCAGCTTTCACCCTTCCAATTCTTTCCTTGGTCCCACTAGTGGGGGAGTGAGTGAATGGTTGTGTGGGTTGCCAACTGGGGTGAAACCATGACACTACGTATTACTTTTGAGCATCTCTGAATTTCATTGAAAACTAAATTATTCATAGGGAAAAGAAAACTCATTGAATTAAATAAAGATTATAACTCTGTTTAGAATTATTACTGGCTTTTTAGCAGACCACAGAAATAGAGACAAGCCTCATTAATTTACAGTGAAAAGCACCACTTCTTTCTGAGATAACACTGTGGAGCAAGTATTTGAATGTGCAATTAATTACTTTGGTTCTGAGAGTAAAAAATGAGGTCATGTCTGTTCTGCTCATTTTGATGTTCATGTTTCATAGAGGATGATGATTTTCTGTTCTAGTGGTTGCAATGCAGTGGAGGGATTTAGCTCAGCCCTTGCTTAGTTCCATATATCCTAATAAAAACTTCAGATTAATACAATTTTATCAAAACAACATGATGCTATAGTGCTTTCTGTTGTAGCAATATCACACTTAGCTATGTCACAAATGCTGATATTCTGATGCTGTGAAGTCCAGTATAGCAGGCATTGTGAAGAATCATCTTTAAACTGCTTCCCCTGTCTTTTAGCAAGGTTTTCAGGTAGCATCATGTTAACATCATCATGTAGCTTCCAAAATGACCTCACTTATGTGCACTGAGTTCAGTGTGGGCAGAACAGACCTTGGTAGGTCCTGTCTACTCTCCTCAGTGTCTGCAACGTGCCAACCTTGCTGTTGATGCAGAGCAGAGAAGGAGACTGAGTTAAGCTGCCTGAATATGGCCAAACTGTCACAAAGGGAATTAGGAATCATTTACTAGCACACTGTAAAACACTCAGACTTCCTATGTAAACAAGGCCAACTCCAGTAAAAGAAATGAATGAATATTGCTTTTACTAGTAAGTTTGGTTATTCCTTCCTTTAATGGCCCAATGATGCATTATTAACATAGCTGGATATTTTAAGCTGATCCATTACTGAAAAAAGAAAAAGGAAATCATGTTCTTGGCCTTGTAAAGCATAGCTTCACACATATTCTCTCATACCTCAAGATGAATATCTTTCATATTCCCTGCTCACAGTTTTTGATTTCCCTTCTTTTGTTTGACTAATGAGAGAAGGTAACATTTCAGTTAAGACAAATTAATATTCCAGTACCTGAGAAGAAAGATGAATCAGTCCAGGATTTCTTACTAGTGCATTTTTTTCTGCCTTTAGGTTTGTGAAGAGCTCTAGGTTTTAAAGCTTTAAGGAAAGCTGTTAAGAAAGTCTCAACAATAGTGCAGGCAAAATTTAGTATCACATATACATAGAAAAGTGTGACCATAAACTTCTGACACTGATGTATTCCCCTGGTGTTTAGACCCTTCATATACTTGTAGGTATTACTATATTTTACCTTAGTCATCATTTGGCTGAGCTTACACATACTTAGGCCTTGTAGACTTTCCTCATAAATCAAACTGCAACCCATGATTACTTCCAGTGCTTTTATCTGAAGCTTTGCCAGTTTGATGACATCTTTCTGGGACTAAGGTTTTATTCCACATTTGAAGACAGAACTCATTGCTGGTTGTAGGGTCAGTCCCAAATAAATCTGGAGCTCGTGGTGCTTAAGAAGGGTATGGTGACAGCTTCTAAGATGCAGGGACAACAGCAGGAAATGCATTACATTGGGGACAGACTGGCATTCTAAGAGAGAATTCAGACCAAAGGGAAAATGTTTCCTTCTACCAGAATTATTTTTGCACGTGGATAAAGCATTGATGGAGTAAGAAACTGCTAATATGAAAGTCAGTTTGTTAGTCCTTGAGATGAGGGCATATGTGGAAGAAAATTAAAAGCAAAGAAACTCTAATTGAATGGATGTGGAAATAAGTGAGCTTATGCTTTTCCCATCTCAGTTACTTTGTCCCTGGCTGGAAACTGTTAACTGCTTTCAGACCAGGCAGCACCAAGTGAGACCTTTTGTGAGGAGGAAGAAAATGGTACTGTTATAAAACAAGACTTAGGTGTAAGAAATAGAAAATGAGTGTATGCAAAGAGTGAAAGTGGTGTCATTCTGGCTTGGATAGCTGCATGTGCATCGAAAGCTCACTAAGCCTGAGGCAAAGCAAAAGGATAAATGGCAAAGTACAACACTGGAGAGGGAAGGGGGAATTGCACAGCTTGTGCTGAAATAGGTGGCAACCTTCCTTAGGAGGGGAAGATGTAGCAAATGTTTGGCACCCTGGAGGAAAGGGGTGATTTAGGGGTCTGAGTTTTCTTTCATTGACCTTCAGTACTGGAACAGATCTGACGAGACTGCAGTAGTTTCTCATAATTTATGGTATAAATTACCTCAGGAAAAGAAAAATGGTGAAAACATAGTCCTTTTAAAGTGTTATGTAATTTTCTGTGGGTTTGGAAGATTGGCAAGGTAGTTTTACCTGCAAGGGTATATAGGCTTTCTCATTTTCTCTTTGAGTAAGAACTACCACTAAGTTTGCCACTGCTTTCTCCTGAGTGAGATGTCTTGAGTCTTATCCATAATCTAGAAAGTAAAATAAAATAAAATATTACACACTTTGCTCATCCAGACTTCTTTTTCAATCCTACAGCCTACAGACATGTTCCTTGCTGTGGGAAGTTTCTAAAGTTAAATTTAATTGTATTTGTCCACTGGATAACAGGAAAATATTCTTAAAAAACCAATGCAGAGAGAAGTTACTTTTTCTTTCTGAGCCAAATAGAATTAAATTCTGTCAATGAGAGGTTGTTACTAAAACACATTGTCAGGTGTTGCTCATTTTCATGTGAAAAATTATCTCCTTTGCTAAATATGCATGGTGTGTTTGCTCCATGCTGGGAGCAGCACTTATGGTGGGTTTCTGTCATTTGTCAAATGAAAAGTGAAGGCTCAGTTCCAAGATCTTAGTCACTGTTGTTCTGAATATATGGAATCTCATGGGAAAAAAAAACCCAAAACAATGCTGTCCTTTCTTGAGAAATAAGAATCCATGATAACCATTCAAAGTAATTATACATACTGACTTCTTACAAACAATTTATTTCGTTTTTTTGAGTAAATTACATTAAAAAGATGAAGTCTTTGTTAATAAATGGAAAGTGAAATTTTAGTTCCAAATATATTCACATGTTTACCTTTTCTACCTTTTCTGTGTGGATGCTAATTGCAAGGGAGTTGTTATCCTGCCTCCCTCCAATTCTTTACGTTGGATTTCTTCCCTTTTACTCAATCTCTTTTTATTTTTTTTTTAATATTAAAGTACAAAAACATCAACTAGAAGCATATTTCTTGACATTTAAAAAGCCCCTACTTTATCCGGCCTGAACTTCTGACTAGAGTCTTTCCCCATAGATAAGCACATTTGGGATTTCAGAATTTAACAGTATGCTCTCTCCTTTGTTACAAGGTTGCTGTTAGTGGACGAGTGTGGTGTCCATTGCTCTCACTAAAGATCAAGGCAAAATAAATCCAACTGTAAAATAACATGGTTATCAATCTCTTTAAAGTCCTGAAATCACTTAAATTTGCTTCAGTGTGCTCTGTCATTGGGCACCCTGGATAAACATACATTTTCCCAAAAACCATAGCTTCTGCTCAGTTAGAATTATATTGAAAAGATTGCTTTTTTTCAAAAGTCACTACTGCCATCAATAATTTCATTTCCCAGCTAGTCTGAGCTCATTTCATTTCAATGCAGTCTTTTCCAAAAACAATTTTGGACTTTAAATGCAGACCCTAATGCATTATTTTGTGGTGTGTTTTAAAACTTAGGGCAGAAATATTCCTGTGCACAGACAAGCTTAATGATATCTTTTGTATTTTCATTTTTAAGAGGCATTTGTCCCCTGAAGAGTTCCAGGAAGTCTTCAAAATGAGTATTGAGGAATTTGATCGTCTGGCACTTTGGAAGAGGAATGACCTGAAGAAAAAGGCCCTGCTTTTCTAAACCCTCTTGGATGAAATATGTGCTTAATCAAAACAAAAATAGTCTTGCCAGAACTATCACATGCACTTGCTGTTGAACCATTGTCCAGCTTCATTGTGTTAGTATGTGTCAGGGAAACAAGACAGATTAGATGGTAATGTGTTGGGATACGGAGAATTTGCTAATCTTGCATTTCCAGCTGGTTTTGTCAGTAACTCCTGGTCCTACCCAGTTTACAATGTGCAAAAAATCTAGCTTTAAATTTATTGTTGCTTGCATTTGTTGCTTGATGCAAATGGAAATTCTGAAAGAGAAGAAAGTGTAGCTGTACACAGGAAATGCATTCAACATTTTGTTCCATTCAGTTTTATAATGCAATTTTTACAAAATCAAGTAAGTAATTATTATAGAAATTTTCCAGCGGGGGATCAGATGCTATTGAAGATATGGTAAAAGCCAAAGAAAAGCATATCTGCAAGCAATTATTGCAATTGTTTATCTGTGGTACTTTTTAAGAATGAAAGCAGAAATATGGAAGCACCTTAATTCTACTTCTTATATTTAAACACAGCGTACTCTTTAAAAGATCATATTTGTCTAGAAGGTAACTAGCTATCTTTAATTACAACACCAGAGTTTTTATTTTATTAAGAATATATTGTGACATAAAACGGTTATAATTACTAAAATATATACAGACCTACTAAGATTTAGTTCCATTCATCAGGAAAACTGAAGCCTTATAAAAAACTGGTTTAAGAGTGTATTGTGCCAGTTGACTGTGGTTTCCTACTAGTTTGGGGTGTTTGAAGAATGATTTTTTTACATTTCATGCTGATAAAATACCATGTAATCTTAATTACTATGTAGATAGATATCTCTATCTATAAAATAATTATTTTCATTAATATATGTGCTAAGTGAAGACATTCTTACTTTCTCAGCTTTAGACAGTAAGCCATGAAAACTATGATGGCATTTGATAGATATGGAAATGGAACAGTTCAGCATAAAATGTAACAAAAAAAGCTTGGTGTGCTCTATCAGTAATACAGACAATTAGAATCAAATACATAAAACCCTCATGCATTACTATTTGCATGTTTCTGTACAAGTCAATTTGAAAAAAAACAAACTATGTGATACCAGTGCAGTACCTTGAAACTATCTTAAATAACAAGCAAAGCTAACAAAATCTAAGCATTTGATATAAGTGTTAGACCTTAATATCTCTTCCAGCTGAAAGACTGTATTAAATTTAATAGTTTCATTTGGTCAGAGGTATGGTTGCTGACAAAGAATGTTTTAAAGTGAGTTGCTAGTTTTGTGTGATACTAAATGAGCATTACAAAAAGTACATTTTTCAGCCATGTGTCAGTATCCTGCATTTTTACTGCCTTGGATGTTTGTACTCACCTCCTACTTCACTATGTCTTTTCTCATTTCCCTAAGGTAACTGGTTAATATATGCACTACAACACACTATTTCAACTGACCCAGCATTGGAAAAATCATAGCATTGAACATGCCTTCTTCCAACTAACTTTCAAAGTCCATGCTGTTGGAAATAAATATTTTCTCATGACCTAAATGTTTTGTCTGATGATACAAATGTTTAAAAAAATTCATTAAAACAAAGACATAACTGAATGACTTTGTTAACGTGTGTATAATTTTTTAGATCATATTGCTGCTCTGGATAAGGTCTTCCTGTGATATTAATGTAAATAGTATCTAATTTGCATTAAATTTGCTCACTGAGGAGAGTGTTGACTGTACCTTTGAATGTAAATTTTCTGTAAAGTTTGGCTTGATTTAAACAATCCAGCAAGCGACTGTCACATCTCACCAAGCAAAATTTGCTTCACTGGTGATGTGCAGAACCTTCAGCCTGTGTAGAGAACCATGAGCCAGTTTCAAATGAGAGCTCCTGATCACATGTAGACCACATCCATAACACTCTTCAACCTAGAATAGCTTGTTGCATTATTTTGTGAAAAATGGCAGCCTATTGAAATGGGCCAATCCTAAAGGTGACCAGCAGGGTCCATTGCAAGTATGAAAAACTAAATCCAGGAGAACAATTGGTTGGAGCACTATTATGAGGAAATTTGACGATTGGCGATTTGGCGATGACCACTCTTCTCATCCACACGTTCCTGGGACACCATATTGCTTACAGGCATTTTCTCAGCAACTAAGAAAATCACAGGTTGATCAAAGAAATACATGTATCAGTGCAGATCAGGTTCAGTATGGATTTTCATAAATAATTTGAAAATTTCTTTACCAAAGCAGCTTTTGTACTGGTGTGGGATTCAACCTGTGCAGTAAGGAAAAAGTGCATTACTGAGCACCACAGGCAATTAACAGCTCTGTACTACTCTGCTGTTTTATGCACCAGGAGAAAGTGAGGATGGTGGGCTCATGTGAACTACTTGACCCATTTACACTGTTGTGAGACAGTTCATCTGTTACTATGTCAAGCCTTAAAAGTGTCTCTTGAAGGTCCTTGTCCTACATGAGCTAAATCAGATACAATTCTTGTTCTACATACCCCACATCTAGACTTCTTAGCTCATGAGCATCAGTTCTTATCTCAATGCCCAATACTGTTAGGAGTTGTACCCCTTCCTCTTTCTAGATTTGCTGACAAATTCCTTTGTCATTCTGTGCTTCCTTTTATAGTCAGTGAAAAGAAAAAAAGCTCTTCATTCACATCCTAATTTTCAAAATGTGAGATGAATTTGCCCTATCATATTCCTGTCCACTGAATATAAAGAAAGCAATTACTCTGCAGAAGTACACATTGCAGGCTGTCTAATCTTGGATGAAATTAATGATATACCTACAGTCTGTTGGGGGGAAATTAACCAGTTTTTACCAAGTCAGTGGAATACCAATCTTAAAACGACTGGCAGTTCCTAGACCATGTTACCAAATCACTTTCAAGCAATCAGGAAAGTACTTTGAGTTGCACAGATCTCTAAAAACTCCCTAGCACAGTATTTTTTTTGTGTTTATTATACCATTCACTAAACAGTCATGCATTCAATGCCAAACACGCAAAAATGTTTTAGAAGACAGTCAGTTTATCAACTTACGTTCCTACTACTAGCCAAAACCAAAAAGGAATTTTGGCTTCCATACACAAAACCTTTGCTGACTTTAGATGAACAAGTACTCTTGTGTGTCCTTATTTCATTTCCATGAAAGTTTGAAATGATCTGTAGATGTCTGTTCTGTGCAAAGGTGGCACAGCTCGGTAAGCTGTTCGTTTTTTCACATGATACATGCCAATGTATCACTCTATATTTAAAGCATCTACTGTCATATGGTGCAGTGACCTATTCAGTTATGTTCTCTAGACTAACTAAATTCACATTTACAGTATGATATTGTGTGCTGGATTTGGCACCAGCCAAATATACCAGTGTAAAAGGACCATAAAGTGAGTAGCATTGTAATTTACTTCATTGCTAAGCTGTTTGTACATCACCTGAACTCCATAAACCAGACCATAATATACCAGAGAATACAATTTTCTGTTTCTAAAATCTATCATGTTTTCCCCGTTTAAAAATTGCAAATTGAAATTTTAGTCATGTAGTTTTCTTTCAGGAACTATTGAGTGTCTAATTAAAGTGGATAGGCTGACATGTGCATAGTAAATATTCAGGATTATTTTAATAGGGTTCCATATGCTAATCTTACATAGTATTACGAAATGGAAAAGGCATTCAGAGTAATGAGATAAGACTTTGCCAGAATGTTCCATCTGATAGTGTGGTCTGGTGCTGGCAGTAAAAAACTGAGTTTCGACTCATAGGCTGTTTTTCAGATAATGCTCTTTAGACTTATTAAGTTACTGTTTTATACTCTTGTTTTCAAGGACATTTTCAGCATTTTCAAAAGTATGGATGTGACTATGCAGTTCAAAAGGATCAATATAGCTCTTGGAGAAACTTATTTTGATATGTATACAAGAAGCAGGGGAATTCTGACAGAGATTTAATTTTCATTCTTGGATCTGAGCTGTACGTCTCAGCTGCTTATGTCAGCCCTATGTAGGACCTAATTCTCACCTCATGTATTTTAAAGAAGACATGTCTCAAACTCAGCAATGAAAGAGCCAACATTTCACCATCACAGTCTTTGAGACAAAGGGATATGTGGGGGGTTGTGGTTGCTGAAGGAATATCTGACCAACAATTCCAGATAGAAATGCCAGGTTACCACTATAGCTGTCTGAGAAGGCTGGACATTTTTGTCTGATCTTCTGGTATTTCTTTTCCTCATGGTTCAGGGGAGAACTCTGAAACCTGTAATTGCAGAAACAAAATACATAGTTGTGAGACGGGACCTGAAATCTAATAACCCTCTGAGACAAGGCTAATTTTACATGGGCAAAAAACATACAGTTCAGACAAAGAGAGATGCCTGGTCTTGCACTCTGCATTTTGATTTTGAGGAGCTATCTATTTGACATTTCACATACCTGCAGGAAAATGCTGTTCTGTTATTTGCAGATGAGCTAGATGAGATCCCAGGCACTTCTGTCTGGCACTCAACTCTGGTGCATGAGCTTCAGAGTGTCATTATATTCATATACTTCTGTCCCTTGATTTGTGTGAGGAAAAGGACAGAGTCATTTTATAAGCTTCCTAAGACCTCAACTGACCTTTGACCAATGTGATTACTTGATAGGTCTCAGTTGTGGCTATAATTTTGCATAAATCTTGAGTATCTGAAAAAAAAGAAAAAAAAAAGATGACTGTTATTCATATCACAATGACAGATGTGACTCTTTTGTATATGTAAATTTATACAGGATGCTTGCATCCCTTCTTCATATCCAAACTGTCTCTGAGGTATGGCTAAATCTTTAAAGGCTCTTTAAAGGAGGTGCTGGCTCAGGCTTTTTGAGTATTTGTATCCCTTCTCACTTTTTCTAGTCTGTGAAAAGCCATGTTAGAAAAGGTGGTACTCAGTAAAAGTGCATGGCCATGAAAAGCAAGATCTCAGTTAACTCCCAGGAAATGAAGCACCCACAGCAAATTGCAGTTTGTTCTGTTATTGCAGCAGGTTATTACTCCCTCCTCACAACCACCGTCTCTGTGAGTTACAGCTCAGGGAAGTTAGTTCTAAATGCTGCTACTTTTCGTGGTTTAGGGCATTGTCTTCATTCCCCTCGGTGTCAGACATCTGTGCTCACAGGGACGTGTGACTTTGTCATGAGTTCTGTGTGTCTGTAACGCCTGGACACCCATCTGCAGCACCCAAGCATTTGGGACCAGCCAGTCCTTCCCTGCCAGCCTGGACAGGCAGCAGCTCCAGAGTGATCAGGAGGAAACCAAAACCAGGCAAAAGCTCCGTGTCCCACACAGGTAAATGTATCATAATTTGTGCATCAGTGTCCCAGCTACTCTATGTTCACCTTTTGTTACAAGTCTGGATACCGCTGATTTCTGGTTTTGAATTTGGTTATGTTTGTGTCATGGATGATTTGCTGTTGACCTGTTTCTTCCATTTGCTATGATATATTCTTTTCTTACATTCTCTAGCTGGTCCCTCCACTAAAAATTGCAATGTTTTTTATTTCTTTCAAGATTAAAACCATTCTTTGCCCTTGATAGTTCTTCTGCAAATTTCTCTCAGCCCATTGTATCTTGTGTTCAGGAATGGTCTGACAGAATAAAGGCTTCCTATTTGTCATGTTATGTCAAGCACTTTTTTTTTTTTTGGGGGGGGGGGGGGGGGTGGGGAGGTGGGGAAGAAGAAAACTAAGAATGTCTGACTTCTTTTATTACAAATCTACATTATGTTGATGCCTTGCTTGACCTAACCTCACACTTGCAAATTGCTGGTGGTTTTTTCCATTTAAGTGGACATGATTCTGAACTCTGACACAAGTCACTATTATTTCTCACACTACTACTATAATTTTTTTCTATTAACTGATAATTGAAAAGGCACCATGATTGATAGCAAATTAAACAACTGAGGTTGTTAATGGTCTGTCTGAACTTCCTTTCAGTTCTCTGACCTGGAATAATTCACTTGAGGAACAGGGTTAAAATTCTCCATTCTTCAACTGGCAGTCTTGCTAGTCAGACTTAAAAAAAAAATCTCTAAATTTATGGATGTGGAGCATAAACACTTTGAGTTCCCCATTTTGCCCCAATTTTGTACTAGACATTTTTCATCTGACAATTAGTTTTTGACAGATGGAAGTGCCAGGAGGACTGTATGAGTTGCTGGATCAAATTCTTCAAATTGCATTTTTTTGTCTTAATCCCTTTTTTAAGTATGATAACTGATTATTTTTATTATGCAATAAAAAATAAAAATAATAAAATTGAATCAAAAATTACCGAAATAATTTACTCCATTTTAAATGGCACAGGAGACAATATAAACACAGAATAGAAGCTAAAATTTATCTTTCAATAAGTTTCCATTTTTGGCCCAATGTTGCTTGAATTTAAAGAAAGAAGGAGCAATGAAGCAAGACTTAGAGGAGATCTTCCCCTGTTGTATTCAACTTTAATATAAAATTTAAATTTATAAGAAGTAAAATTACAAGAATAGGATTTTTTTTTCAAGTTAGTAATACCCAAAGATAGAGCTACTCTTCAGTGATTCTGAGGGTTTAATACACATTTAATAAAAGGATGTTAGCACAGTATTTTGAAAATGTCAGTAACTAAATGCTAATCCCACTGAAATTACTGGCATTCGTACCTGCACCAGAGCATAAAGGTCAGGTTATACAGAA